TCGGCAATAAAAAAAACTGAAGTCACGTAACCGTAACGACACTGCATCTCCTCCTGAAAAGGGCACGTGTCTACAAAGCGGTTTTAACCCTCCGCAAAACATGCTCCGTTGGACGCGATATTTGTATAGGGCTACTTACCTATGACGCACATGCTAGGATCGCGTACATGTGCAAGGGAATAGGGTCCGATAAATACCTTTTTTGTAATTTAAATTACAAAACGGATCGTATCATTAAGGACTGCATCGAAGAATTCCGTCTGATTAGTGTCCGTTTTCCCGTCTTGATATTTTTTACGCTTCTCGTATAATTATTTCCTTCAAATGGAATAATAAACGAGTCAAGTTAAAGAGTGGAAGAGTATAATATTGCTTGAATCTGTAAATTTTTAAATTTGTGAATTTTCTGTTTTTTTTTTTTAATAATTTTTCTTTTTAATAATTTATTTTTATTTAGTATGCGCGCGTGTGTGTGTAGAATTTAAGTTAAATGTATACACGTGTAATTTCGTGCCCTTAAATAGTAAATTTAGAGCTCTTTCAGCAATAAATGAGCATTTGCGATTGTAGTAGCGATCGTAACTCGATCCAATTTCGATCCTGTCAGGCCGGTTTCTTCCAGTCGAATAGATGTGATTATTCTTATCGATGGGTTTATGCAAAGGAGCTAACGCGAGAACGATGAAGTGTGCCTTTCCCTCGATAAAACGGCTTGATGAATCGAGTTAGTCGTGCGTGAATCATTGAACGATCACTTTTAAGCCTCAGGTTTTAACCAATTAGCCAAAAGATCCGAAGGAAGAATGCATAATGAAAACAATTAATTGCATTTTCCACGCACTTCATATTTATATTTCGTGTTATGTATAAACATGACTATTTGATTTCGCCTTTCGAATATTTTTTTCTGTTGATTTAAGAATAACAAACGCAACTGTCTGGGGATGCTCTTTTTTACCCCGAACAATGAGAGGGCTGCGTAAATATCAGCCTCTGGTAGCAGGAACCACCCTTTTCGAGCCACATTTTGTCCATAACGCCCATCGCTTTTAATGTCAATCTGCACTGTTAAAATCAAATTATAAATGTGCAGTGTCAGCGAATTTAAAATTTTATTAAAATTACAAATCAAATTTGATATTGACATAAAGGAACTGAAGAAATTATTATATAATTAAAATCAAAATTAAACTCTCTTGCATTAATTTTTTTGAAAATTCTAGTTTCAAATTTTATAATTTTAAAAATCTGGAAATTAATAAATTCCATAAAATCGAAAATTCTTCTTTCATAAAATAGAAAATTCTTTATATTTATATATATATATATAAAATACCTATGTATATAAATTTGTATATACTAGTATTTTCTTCTGTTAATATTTTATATTTACTTTTCAATGACAGGAATATATTTATCTATCTAGTTTATCTGCAATTTGACATAAAGTGAACGCTTCTCAATTATTTATAAAAAAAACCTCCTTGCTCCATAAAATTATATATAAAGCGACTCAATCTTTGAACACTTCGGCGTAACTGTGTCTGGAGAAACTTGTCAGTGCAAAGGTCGTAAGTGCATGTACCTGCGCGTCTGGCTTAATGTTCGGAGCAGACGAGCGTCCTTTTATGGTGTCCTTTCACGAACTGCATTCTTGACGGGCTTTCCATCGCGTTCACAGTATGCAGCTTGATGGTTCCAAAAATAGAACCGATATATAGGTATTCAGTTCAGCACATACTATGAACTTGAAGTGTCAATATAAATTGGAGAAGTAAACGAGAGATAGGAACAAATTTTACATATACCAAGAAATAGGTAATGCTTGCTCCCTTAGATAATGCTATTCCCGATTGAAGCAGAAAATATGATTGTAAACATAAACGTCATCTAGAAAAAATTACTTTTAAAACGTTACTTTAAACATTACTTTTTGAAAACTAAAAGAAAAATTAATATCGTTAGAAAAATTAACATTTAAAATCTTATAAATAGAGAAAAAAATCAAACTTTAGAAAAATTTATTTTAATTATTTAAACAAGAATTTTAATAAATTCTTATTTAAAATTTTATTTATTTAAATGCATCTGCAAATGTATATTTAACAATGATAACTTTTATTATTATTAGAAGATTATTTATTATTATTAGATGTTGTTTAATTTACAATTTATACGCGCGCGCGCGCGCGTGCGTGTGTGTGTGTGTGTGTGTGTGTGTGTGTGTGTGTGTGTGTGTGTGTGTGTGTAAAAATGTATTTTGCATAGAATATCAAGCTTCTATTTATAGTTATTTACATATATTTTGTATTACAGTTATATACAATTATTTACTGATATATTTTATATATTCACTAAATTGTACGTATATTATAAATATGTTATATGTACAGTTATGCAAATTATGATATGTAATGTTACATTTTGCAATGAGATATTATTTATTGCGATAATGTAAAAAACATTTATTGTCAAGTGTGTTAAAGCAATAGTAATTTCATATTAAATAGTATAAGATAGTATAGATAAAAGATAAAGAAAGAACAAAATTAAATATATATTATGTATGTGAATCATGTACGAACTAGTTAACTAGAATTTTGTAATAAAATTGAAGTATTACTAGTCTGGAGCTGTAACGAGCCACGGTAAAAAAGTTACTTTCCCACTTGTTTGAAAAAACAATAATAATTCGACCTCATTAACATTTACATTATTTTAAGTATTCACACTCGCGCGCAAGTACCACATCTCGTGTTCATGTGTCTCGTTAATTCGTGATTAATTATTATAATCTTTTTCAGGTATAAATCAATTATAAAAGACACAAAACCATTAATGGAAATGGAATAAGAATGAATTTATGAATGAATTTATTATGAATGAATTTTATTATCGATTTATTAGTAGCAAACGAAACTCTGTTTTAGTGATCTCGTTCGTAAAAGTGAAATTCTGTCTTTTTGTGTATTCATAATAATTATTGTATGTTAAACAAACATTTTTTAATATCTTTTTATATTATTTTAAAATTCTTTCTTTATTTGCTATAGTCAGTTAATTATATTGCAGAAATTGTTTTATGAAACTGCTGTTATTTTAATTTATATATAAGTTAATTTATATTAAAGATTGCATCAATTACGAAGAAAAATTAATACAATTATTTTAAAAAATTGTATATTTATGTCAGAAATCAGAATCTATTATGCAAATTAATATAATAATAATATTTTTGTTACATTATTTTTTACAATTTTATTTGACAAATGCATAATAGATTATTTTTTTCAAGTAGCAAGAATTTTTGATAGATACTGATTGCACTGATAATATAATAATAATAAATAATATACATTATTTACTTTACTTTTAGTAGAGACAATATTAATAACTATACCGTATCATATAACGTATCATATAACACTTTATAGCATTTTTTTTCAATATTAGTCTTTTTAGTAGTAGCAAAAAACACTTGTCATAACTTGTTGAAACTGGATCTATTAAAAGATTTCACAGTAAAGTGCTAATAGCTTTATTGCAAACGTTGCGCTTGTCAAAAATTGTAACTATATAAAATTTTTTCATATATCAGAAAAGAACAAATATATAAAAAAAAACACACTTAATAAAAAACTATGGAAAAGGAACGACAATGTGATGACACAACAATGATTACAACAACATTCTGAAACAGATATTTCAATATTGGGATTTTGCATTGTAATACTTTTATTCTTAGAGAAAAAAAATAAAGATACTTTTTTATAAAATTTAAATCCGAATTATCGATTGTAACTAGTAGTAAGAACTGGTGCAGCTATATCTGAGATCCCATAATCTCTGATCTCTAACTTTCGACTTATCTTGTTTGCTTTACGCATAACGTAATCTGACTAAAGACACTGTGCTTTTCAATAAATAACTTCCTTTCTCATAGAATTCCTTTCCTCCAAAACATGAATATACCTCTCTTTCGCTTAAATGTAGCGCGTTAGAACAAACTATCATCTCCGTAAAGACTCGATTTTCCACGCGGTCTTCATGGAAATGCAGGCAATTACATTTAATAGAAGCGCCTGCACTAATGATCGTAGCGACGCATTAATTCCGCGCTCCGTCACGGCGACGTCGGTCGTGCCGGAACTTCGCCGAAGATCGTGTATGACATCACCGTTGCCAACGATGAGGGCGATGGGACGCTGGGGCGAATATATGAGAAAAAAGCTTAAAGAGATGCGAGAGAGAGAGAGAGAGAAATGATCGGCGACATCGAAGCGCTTCAATTGAGCTCGCTTGAGAGGAAGGACAGACAGCGAACAGATCTCGCCGCAGCTTCCTCGTAAAACGCATCTATCGCGCACTGTACTTTGGTGACGGGATCGCCGTTTAAGTGATCGTTAGGTCTCTTCTCGGCGGCGGCGGTACAACGGGACAGAGGAGCGCCGCCGTCTCTCGAAATAGACACGACAGATGGACGCGAGAGCCGAGGGGGGTAGGGGATGGTGCTAGGATTTTATGGATTTAAATTGGCCAAAGGGCGAGTCGCGCGCGGGCTGCGGCCGCTGCGTGCCCAATTGGCGCGCTCGCGGAGAAACCACCGGCTCGTTGACTTTTTGAATGAAACCAATTGCTTCTACGTCACCGATACGACGACGTGCCATCTGTCCGCAGCACGATGTCGCACATCCGTCGCGAAAAGTGTCGAGTCAGACACACACACACACACACACACACACACACACACACACACACACACACACACACACACACACACACACACACACA